CCCCCACCGCGGCTCCCCCCCTCCCGCTGTCAAGCTGGTCCTGGGCTCCGGTGTGAGCCCGGAACCAGCATAGTGCCTCTGTCACAGGGGATCAGAGGGAGCTTGGTACACGAGCTCCCTCCGGTCCCCTCTCCGCTGTCAGAATGCGGAAGTGGTGTATTTTACATCACTTCCGCATTCTCGTGTCACTCTCCAGCTTCAGATGCTGGAGAGAAGCTGATGAAGCAGATCTCTGCTTCATCAGGTTCTTCAGGGGGGTCCTAGGTGACATTAGGGGTCTTGGAGACCCCTGATGTCTCCATAAAGAAGACCTGTCATCTCTTTTGCTATCACATAAGGGGGTTTCTAAGCCAATTTTTTTAAGGTTACACAAAAAAGAATTAAAAAAGGTGTCAGAATGCGGAAGTGGGGTATTTTACATCACTTCCGCATTCTCGTGTCCCTCTCCAGCTTCAGATGCTGGAGAGAAGCTGATGAAGCAGATCTCTGCTTCATCAGGTTCTTCAGGGGGGTCCTAGGTGACATTAGGGGTCTTGGAGACCCCTGATGTCTCCATAAAGAAGACCTGTCATCTCTTTTGCTATCACATAAGGGGGTTTCTAAGCCAATTTTTTTAAGGTTACACAAAAAAGAATTAAAAAAACAATTTTTTTTTAAAGTCCCCACCCCTACATACACGCATGTAAACATGCGTCAGGTGCGCATGCCTGCGAAAACGACAATTGCGCCCATTACGCCGCACATGTTACATATCGCCGCGAACGTCGGAATGAGAGCAATAGTTCTAGGGCCATCAATCACTGATAACACTAAACTGATGAGCGGTGAAAGCTTTTAAAGCGTCGCCTATGGCCAATTTTGGGCATGCTAGTTTTTTACGATTTTGCGAGTGCGCGCAACTTTTACACTTGACATGTTTGGTGTCTATTTACCCGACGTGACAAAGCGGTTAAAGTGAAATTCAAAAGGAGAGACAATAGCGTGGCGGGGACCCTTTCCTTGCTGTGGTGTAATATTTTAATGTGGGCCTGCATTATTTTTTGACAGGCTCCAATGCTAATACTCTGCATTATGCTGCAGACGGGCTGGTTCATAGGCACTCACTAGCATGTGCAGTAATTGGACTTCTTATTACACTAGCACAGTGCTGCAAGGCTAAGAGGGAGTTCCGTTGCTGGTAGCAACCAGGGTTTCCTACCTGGCCGGGGCTTGTTGTGAGCTCCCAAGTTGGAAGCTATGATTGCTCTCACCTGAGTGGAGCTGGGTAGGGCTCTTTCAGCCCTGTTTGAGTAGACGGCACTTAATTTTCGCTTCCCTGTCTTAGAGAAGGGAAGAGGCAAAATCCCAGAGTATGGGAATTGCTGGAGGAGGTTACTTACTTCCTGGGAAGATATGTATTACCCATTAAAGAGTGTTAAATCTTGTCTCTCTGTATGATAGCAAGCATCTAACCTTTTCAGGTGGAGTCTTCTCTTCCAATCCTCAGTTTGCTCACAGGTGGAGCTGATCCATTGATTGTAGCTGGCTATGTGTGTCTGTCTCACAGGTGTGGGGTCTTTACTTACTACTCTGGATGCAATGCAGAGTGTGCAGCACTTGCCCAGTCCAGGATGAGAGCTTGTGACTATGGTTCTCTGTCTCTTGGACAGAGATCACATACAGGGATGTAGTTCTGTGGCTTGTTGTAGCTGTAGGTATTTCCCGACCATAAGTGGAATCTGCTTTTAGAAAGCACTAAGTAATGAAGTCCAAGATTTATTCATACCTAATGTATTTGTGTATATTTCTATGCAATCTCAGCAACAACCTGTTACTGCTTAGTATAAGCATTAGTTCAGGAGGCGATCTTTGAATTTGCTAAGTGATGCATATTCCTATGCGGCCCCCAATATAACTGAGTTTCAGCTTTAGAGAGAGCTTCATTGGTTCATGGGGTGGTTATGTATCTCAGTATTGGGGTATACCTTCTTTTCAGTATTACTATACTGCCTCTAATTAGAATCAAGTTGCAGCCTCAGTGCAAACATCGTTGGCCCAGGAGGGAGTTAGGTATATTGGTATTGAAGTATAATGCTATATGCCCTCTAAAAACACCCAATTTGACTTCTTTTCATTACTTATGAATCTCAGTCCCGATTGATATCTGGTTGTGGGGTGTTTTTTATACTTTCTCCATTATGGCTTTAGAAGGAGCATTATCTGTCCGTGGGGCAGTTCTGAAGCTCGGTAGGATGTACGCCTTAAGTTTTGCCATTAGGTCTTTCTGGACCCTGTATACCATCCTCTGCCTATACCTTCATAAGATAGTTATGAATTTTGGTATCTGCGCATACTACGTGTATAAGTATACTAGACTGCCTCCAAAGCAACCAAATTTTTTTTTTTTTTTTTGGAAACATCTTTGGTTCATAGGGCAGTTGGGAATCTCAGTATTTCTGCATACCTTTTGTTATTAGTGCTTATATACTGTGTCCGGAATAACCACTTTACTGCTTAATTATGTTTTTTCATTTATTTTTATTTTTTTTCTCTCATAAGGTAGTTTTATGAATTTGAACTTCATGAACTTCAGTGTATGCGCATTCCATGTGTATGAGCACAGCAGTCTGCCTCCAAAGCAACCAACTTTCCATTTTTGTGGAAATATCTTGTTTTGGTTCTTAGGGCAGCCGTGAGTATCAGTATATGCGCATACATTCATTTTTGGTGCTTATTTACTGTACCTGGTATAACCTTTTTTTGGCTGCTTAAGGTAAGCATTTTTGATTCATTAGGTAGTTATGAATTTCAGTTTCTGTGCATACCATGGGTATGAGAACATTAGACTGCCTACAAAGCAACCAATTTTTGTGGTTCAAGAGGTAGTTATGGATATCATCTGTGTTCCTTCTACCCGCAGTTGTAATGCTACACTTCAGGACCTTTACTCGTCAGTAAGGTATAATTACGGAGTCCTACAGGCTTTCCTAGAAACTCCGTTGAACTAATTGTAGCATGTTCTTTAAAATTATTGCATTTAAAACGGCTTTGCTTGTAGCCATGGTTTAGCGAAATGTACACTTTGCCGATTTTGGGTCCCTATAGCACAGGGAAACATTTTATTAAAACCAGTCCCGGTTTTTCCAATGGCAATAGTGCAATATGTCAGGGAACGCATGGTATGGCAGTTCCCTCCTTTTGTACCAGTACATCAGTTATGGGAGAAGCAGCCTTACTAGGTGAGTCCTCCCCCATACATACACGTATGCAAACAGGCGTCGGGTGCGAAAACGACGATTGCGCCCATTACGCTGCACATGTTGCATATCGTTGCGAACATCGGAATGAGAGCAATAGTTCTAGGGCTATCAATCACTGATAACACTAAACTGATGAGCTGTAAAAGCTTTTAAAGCGTCACCTATGGTCAATTTTGTGTATGGTAGTTTTTTGTGATTTCGCGGGTGCGCGCAATTTTAAAGCATGACATGTTTGGTGTCTATTTACCCGACGTGACCCCGTCTTTTATATTTTACCAAAAATATGGGTAATAAGTTTTTTTCCCAAAAATGTAAATATTTCCTTAATATAGTAAAAAATAAAAACCCCAGTGGTGATTAAATACCACCATAAGACAGCTCTATCTGTCCCCCCCAAAAATGGTATAAAATTAATTTCAGTACAGCGTTGCATGATGGAATAAACGTCAGTCAAAGTACTGCAGCGCTGAATACTGAAAAATGGCCTGGCCAGGAAGGGGGTCTAAACACCTGGTCTTGAAGTGGGGATATATATATATATATAATTTGCTAAAACTCCTAAAATGCTCATTTATGAATCAGAAGTACCACCCACATGCATAAGAAGTGGAGCTGAAAGACATTGTTTTTGATAGAAATTACATTTTATAATTGCTGGGGCTGGAGATGTAATGCATTACATGACTGCAGAGGCTGCAACCATTGAGTCATGCTAGCCTATATGCTGCATCAGGGTCAAATGTTGCATGCCTGAATTGTGGTTCATTGGCAAGCTAGTAGAAATGATTGGGCTGCTTTATCACTGTACATCGTAGCATGTGACACGGTGCCCCTTTAACCTTTATTCATTAAAGCACCACAAAGTAATACTAAGATCAATCCTAATTGTTAGGGATGGGTTAGCGGCCAGGAACATTGCAAGACTTTCAAATATGTATGTGTTTGTCAATTCTAACAAGGGATATCATTATTATTCTTTCTCTAACTATTAACTGCTATTAGTAAGCCCTTTTTAAAAAAGATTTATAGTAACTAAAACTACCTGTTGATCCTGCCAGCAGCCAACTCTTCCTTTTATAGGCATGACGACAAAAACCACAGGGTGCTTCCTGGTTTACCACTGTCATGCCATCCTGCAAACTCCCTAAATCGTTGTACAGGATGCCGTTCCAAAGCTTGCCATACACCTTACAATCATTATCGTATGAACTTTTTCACATGATGATCGAACTGTCGTAAGATTTTCATACGACGGCCCCATCAAGCACAGACCATTGAATAGTTCAATTAGCGGTCGTTGGCAAAATCACCTGGCCGAGTTTCATTAATTGGGGGGGAACGGATTTTCGTTTGCGCATGTGCAGTGTTAAAGGTGCTATTTTTGACGTACGAAAACGCCACCAACTTAGCTAATTTCGTACGATTCGACAAAGCTTTCTAGCGTGCTTGAAAGTCAAGTTGTACGATTGCACAGTATTTGCGGTTGTACACTGCCCATCAACCTTGCGAATATCGTACGAAAACGCGATTGCAAACGAAAATTGGACGATATTCATAAGGTGTATGGCCACCTTAACGCATGGCATCCTGAGCACTAAGGAAGTCATTCTGTGTAATCACTGGCAGCCATGCTCCCCGACCCCTTTAATTGACAGCAGTAGACATCCCAAACTAAAAGAAAAATTTGGCTGTAACTCCATTAGTTTTGGCTAGTGTTTCTTCAAAGCATTGATAAGGAAGGTTTTTTTTTCTTTTCATTAGAACTGCGAATTGAAAGACTTGACAAACCAGACTCTCTGCCATTACAGTCGTCATTGTCTAAGCAAGGCACTATATTTTCTGGAGATACTGGCACTTCAAATGACCACTCTTGTGGAGAAGGCTCTACATCCTACACAGAGGAACGTATGGACTTCAACAGGAGTTCTGATTTCAGACAAGATAGCAATGGACTTCGAAACAGAACAGATGTTACTTCAGAGTCTACCCCAAGAGGCTTAAACCAATATTTAACAAGATTTGATGAAGCAATGAAACTGAGGAACCAGCTCAATAGTGAGAAGCCAGTTCCTGAGAGTAGCAATGCAGTAGATGAAATGGACTGTTTCCGCATTTGTAGACTTGTGGGAAGTGCCATTCTTGCTGTGTTTGTAAGAATGTTTGTGTGCAAATACTTGGTAAGTTAGTAATGTTTTAACAACTTGTTTGTTAATAATAATTTTAATTTACAGGATTTATATAGCTCCAACAGTTTGCACAGCGCTTAACAATCAAAAGGAACTCTGGTAAGTACTTGTCAGTTTTTATTTCTTTGACAGGTTTTTTGTTTTGAATGCAGCTTTTTGGTAAAGTAGATTTAAACTTTAACAAATCAATATACAGGTGAAACTCGAATAATTAGAATATCGTGCAAAAGTTCATTTATTTCACTAATGCAACTTAAAAGGTGAAACTAATATATGAGATAGACTCATTACATGCAAAGCAAGATAGGTATGATATTGTTCTATGTATAATCCTTGTTTTATTGATTGCATGTAGTAATCTAATTTTCTAACTTTCCCACACATGGTGCTCTATAATGCATTGCTGGGATAGTGGGATTTGTATTCCTCTATAGCTGATGGTACATTGCGCTTTATACGTACCATCAGCTATAGAGGAATACATCCCAGCAATACATTATACATTGTATGTATAATGTATTGCTGGGATTTGTTATATTCCTCTATAGCTGGTGTTATTCTGCATTGCGCTGTATAGAGGGCTACAAATCCCAGCAATAATACATTATACAGCACAATGCAGAATACCACCAGCTATAATGTACTATTGCTGGGATTTGTTGTAGTCCTCTATAGCTGGTGCCATTCTGCATTGATTGCTGTATAACTTTTTTTTTTTATTAGATTGCTGTATAATTTTACACTTTTCCATTTTACTATATTGCACACTTCTTTCTTTCTTTTTTTTTCTTCCACCGCTCCAAGCTTGCTCCTGTGATGGACTACAATCTCAATACAAACTAGTAGTCCATCACTGGAGCCATTTTTTAAAATCCCGATTAACCAGTTAATCGAACGTAATAATCGGCTATCTAACCGATTTTTTTTTTAAAGATTAAAGTTTATTAGACAAATGTTTTAACCGATTTTGAAAATAATCGTTAGCTGCAGCTCTAGAGCCTTCTACCTCCAAAGTTGAACATGGCTTCCCATTTACAGTCTAAGCCCTGGTCCCTGAAGCCTTTCCAATTTGTCACCCTCCTAACAATGAGGGGTTCCCACAACTTTCTCAAATGGCAGGGGGGTGTCTGCTGGCCTTTGAGAAAGAGTTGAGACATCCAGGATCTGTGAGTACACACCCTAGTCTCCCAGGGTTACAAGTTGGAGCTTTTATGCTTCCCTCCTCCTCGACTTATGCCCTCCAATCTTCCCTCTTTTCTGCAGCAAAAGGATGCTCTACAGAGGACGTTGCAGCAGTTGATGATGTCGGGAGTCATTGTCCCTATCCCTTAGCCAAGCCAACCTCTTCATGGTTCCAAAATCAAATGGTGGGTACATCCCTTCCTAGCCTTGAATTCGCTCTACCAGTTTCTGCGAGTCCGCATGAAATTGGCAAGATCTGTCATCGCCTCCCTACAACAGGGAGATCTTGCTTAAGTGACCAACAAGGACGCTCACCTGCATGTGCCAATATTTTCCTTACACCAAGGCCTTTTGCATTTTGCCTTGAGGAAAAGCACTTTCAGTTTGTGGCATTTCCATGATCCCTTGGTGGTTCACAAATGTACTAGCCCCTGTTCTAGCATTGTTGCATTCTCAGGGTGTCCATGTAGTGGGATGCTGGGCTGGGGAATGGGGGATATGTGCTAGGAACCTCAACTGTACAGGGGATCTGGTTGCTGAGGGATGCTAGACAATCAGTCAGTCTTCTGGAGTTGAGAGCAATTTGGCCATCGGGGGACAAATAATGAGGGTCCAGTCTAACTAGGCTATGACATACATAGACCATCAAGCATGGACCACAAGTCACTCAGCTTAACCTTCCTGGCGGTATTCCCAAGTGTGGCTCGGGGTTTATTTTCAGTACCATAAGCGGTAACACAGAGCCACACTCGGGATTACATAGTAGCATTACTCACCTTGTCCCTCGAGCTGCGCTGTGTCCTCCGGCCGATGCCGCCACGCGTCTTCCGGGTTATGTCCCTTGCGAGCGTCCGTGTCCTGGGGGGGGGGGGGGGGGCAGAACCGGCAGGAATTAAAAAAAAAAGAAGAAATAATCAGACCGCCAGGGAGGTTAAAGGCAACGGAACCTGATTGTTGCTTGGGTGGAACTGTACAACTGCACAGTACCAGGAGTGGAAAATTGGTCGCTGGACTTTGTAAGCAGGCAGAGGCTTGTTTCGGGGGTTAGTCTCTTCCCCTCAAGATGTTTCAGGAGGTTTGCTGCGATTGGGGGACACTGAACCTAGACCTCTTGGTGTTCAAACTAAACAAACTGCAGAAATTTGTATCTCAACGCAGGGATCCGGGAGTTTTCACGGTGGATGCACTGGTGGCTGCATGGGAGTCAGTTCTCCCTAAGCTATGTAGGGCTGCAACTAACGATTGTTTTCATAATGGATTAGTTGGCAGATTTTTTTTTTTTTTTTTAATAGGATAAAAAAAAAAATTAAATGCCCTCTTATTTAGACGACACAAATGTAGTGTTTAAAAACAATGTTTACTTCAGAATAAAACTCTGTCCACAATCCTTGGAATGCACAGCATTGTGGTATCATGCGTTTCAGTGCTGGCAAACACACTGCGGGCAAGAAGCGCGTTTGGGGTGTACAATTGACAGGAATGGCACCACACAATGCACCTACCGCAGCAGAATTTGTCAGGCTGAAACCAAGAAAATGACTTTTTCCCACCTTTTTAAAAAAAATTATTTTATGTATTATATTAGACATTTGAATTAGTTTCATGGATTTAAAATCTGAATTGAAAAATTCTAAGCCAATATAATAAAATAACCAAACTTTTATTTAAAGAATTATTGCTCTGACTCTGGCACATGTGGCGATACCTGGCATGTGTAGCGCAGTCATCATTTTCATACTTAGGTGCACCCAACTTGTGTTGCCATTAGTATGCGTGCTTGAATAGCTTCAGCCGGGGAATGTCAGCTGCTAGTGGCAAGCTTCTGCAGCCGGCAGCTGAATGTAAACGCAGTGGGCGGGTGCAATAACCAGCCTGCTATTGGCTATTGCACCTGATGTAGAGTCACAGAGGTGGTGGCTGACAGCCGGTCTCTTCTCCACACTGGGCGCTGGCTGCAGCAGTCTGTGTCCCCTCCTATCCCCGCTAGTAGCGACCCTGCAATGAAACACCAGCATCAATTGTGGAGGAGAGAACTAGGTGATCCACACAAACTAATCGATATTGAGAATAGTCGACAATTCTCATTATCGTAGAGCCAAAGAAAATCTCACCTCTCCAATTCCTCAGGATCCATCAGGATTCCATTTATTCATTCATAATTGTAGTTATAGTAAACAAACAATGTACTCATGTTATCAATGAACAGGAAGACTCATAGAGGATTCCTGTTCATTGATAACAGGGGACACAGAAAAGGAGATTGAGGACTTTGTGTTCTCAATCTCTTTTTCTATTTTAAAAGGGAAATATCAGGGGTCTGTTTAGCCCCCTTATATTTCCCAGAAGCCACTAAAAGTAAAAAATAAAAATATTTAATAAAAAATGAATTAATAAAAATAAATATAAAAAAATTTAAGTGTATAAAAAATGAATTAATAAAATATAAAAGAAATTTGAAAAAATAAAAAACAATTTCAGTTTCGGCCTGACATTTTTTTTTATTTCGGTTTCGGTTTTAAAATTTCCATTTCGGTGCACCTCTAAGATTACTAAAAATCTTATCATAAATGTCTTATATTAAAATATAAATATTGCTAATAAAAATTAAATATCATAATATATGCTCTAAGAACATCAAATATGATGGATATTATCTGGAAACTACACTACTAAGGCTAGTTAGGCGAACAGAGAAACCCACAAAAAGTAGCTAGATGGTCCTAGGTTTATTTAAAATACTATATTATAAGAGCCATCAAGAAAAAGATCTTCTAACACAGGTGTCCCAGGCAATTGCCCAGAACCTTCTCAATATTTCAGAGAATGCCAAAAGTACAAATATATTATCAAGAAATAAAGACCAAAATCCATCCAAACTCATAACTGTTCAAATCACTCATAATATTATGTAACATCCCACTCAAAGTTTAAACCTTTAGGGCCTGTTCACATGAGTTTCAGGTCCTGATCAGGTCCGGATCTGCAGACGCGGTGCTAATGATGCAGTGCGTTTTGGCCGCGTTTTTGATGCGTTCCAGTAAACTGGAACGCATCATCATTTTTGCTGGAGTGTGGCTGTATGTTAGCTGCAGTGCAGTGCGTTTTTGTCTCGTTTGCGTTTCCTGACCGTACAAAATGTGACATGCAGTATTTTTCTGTCGTAAGCTGAACGGACTGCGCACGTGAGAACTGTAGCCCATAAAACACATAGGGATACATTGGGATGCATTTTGAGTGCAAGAGCTAGTTTTGTGCGAGTGCGTGCAATTTTTAAGCTTGACATGTTTGGTGTCTATATTTACCCGACGTGACCCCGTCTTTTATATTTTACCAAAAAAGTGGGTAATATTAGTTTTATAACATAATGTCAAAAAGTAATTTCTCCTGAATATAGTAAATAAAATAAAACCCCCAGTGGTGATTAAATACCACCATAAGAAAGCTCTATCTGTCCCCAAAAAATGGTATAAAATTCATTTCAGTACAGCGTTGCATGACGGAATAAATGTTAGTCAAAGTACTGCAGCGCTGAACACTGAAAAATGGCCTGGCCAGGAAGGGGGTCTAAACACCTGGTCTTCAAGTGGTTAAGGACCTCATCCTTCCCTCCTTTTTGTCCTGCCCTAAATCTTCCTAACGAAGTCTCTCCTCACTGGATGTGGTTCGGGCTGTTTGAGTTTTTCTCTCCGCTAAATTTTAGTTTTAAAAATTGGAATGTCTTTGTCCTTCTTGAAGGACCCTGCATGGAGCTCCCTGCATCTTGTTTCACCATCAAGGTGGATCAGACGGGTCATTGTGCATGTCCATTCTGTGAAAGTGAAGGCTCCGCCTTTTCCTTTTAAAAGCGCACTCTGCTAGGTCGGTCAGTCCTACTTGGACTTTTCAACATTGAGCAACTGTTTGCAGGGTCGCTACCTGGTCTTCTGTTCATATGTGCACTGAGAACTACCAAGTGGATGTTTGGGCATCTGCTGATGCTAATTTTTGCCATAGGGTGCTATAGGCTTCTTTCAGAAGTTGGGGGTTACGTCCTTGTTTATGTGGGCCTGTTGGCAGTTGTTTTGCTGTGTTGCCTACTCCACTGTTCTATTGCTTGGACATGTCCCTGTTGTCTCCAAATCTGTCTGTGTCGTGTACTATTTTATTTTATTTAATTATTTATTTGTATTTATATAGTGCCGACAATTTATGTAGCGCTTTATATTGTTACACATTCACATCAGTCCCCGCCCTCAAGAAACTTACAATCTAAGGTCCCTATCTCGCATGTATACAACCTGAACCATGCCTGCATCCAATCAGATTGTTCAGGAATTTTGAGAGCCAATGGGGCTGACTAGCAAGTTACTGAAGCTTGGACCAGTGGGAGATTCCTCCATCCACACACTTTAGCGTAGATGGAGGAATCTGTTGCACTTTTTCCATCTGACCATAGAAAATCTGCAAATAATCTATAGGTATATGGCCAGCTTTAGACAGGAGCCAATTAACCTACCAGCATGTCTTTTTGGAGTGTGGGAGGAAACTGGAGTACCCACAGGAAACGCACACAAGCACAGGGAAAACATGCAAACTCCTTGCAGATTGATTAACCTTTTCCCCAGTTGTAATTACTCACATAAACCTTCTTGCAGCAGTAAGCAGATCTTACTTTTAAATATTTTAAATATTTATTGTAGAACGTGGAACAGAAGATGTAGATAGATATGCTGGAATACCCAAAAATGCTGATAGTCGAATAATATCACTTCTTACAAGGCGTGCAGTTCCTAGTGGAAGGTCCATTTTCTCCCTCTCAATAGGCCAGAAGTGTCTCCATTCCCACAGAGGTTCCAGTGTGTACTCTGCTTCAGGACAAACTATAGCCTGGACCAGTGGTTACTCCAGTGTCCCCATGACCTCTGTTAACATGAGTGAGGTCCTTGTAATGGATCCTGCATATGGCATTGTTTTTGTTGGTAGAGACTGCACCTCCGAAGTTCTTCCCACTATGCCTCCCAGTTCAGATTATCTTTGAGAACAGGGGCTGCTTACTGTTTTTTGTTTCTTTACGTTAATATTTTGAGGGTGTCTACAGATAAAAGCGATTTAAACTTGAGCAAATAACATCTAGAATTAACTTGTATCCATTCTATGATGTAAATGAACAAATTCATATTTGCCAAATATATTACACACACACACACACACACACACACACACACACACACACACACACACACACACACACACACCCCCTACATTTACCACCGGTCCCTCAATCAAATTAGAATTCAGTGTGGCAATGATTAGAACCTCCTAAAATAGTACACGGGTGAAACCTCTCATTTAAACCTCAAGACCTCTAGGGTCCGGTGTTCCCTTTGCTAATGACGTATGGTGCTATCATGTCAAGATCAACAGAACTCTTCAAACCTGGCCATATACACTGCTCCAATTTTTTAATTCAAGCAGTGTGTACCACTGTCAGCACCCCTTAATTTGACAAAAGTAGATTTTTCATTGTTCAGGTATTCTGACAGCCGCACACCCACCACTGTCGGAATACAATAACAAGGCAGGGGGGTTCCACCATCCACCGTTCAGAGCGTTTGTGGGGCTAGCCTAGAAGAAACTATAAGTGTATGGCCAGTTTTGGGCCCTCAGAAAGAAAGTTGTTGATGACTTTTTCTGGGAAAGCATTTAAAAAGATCACCAAACTATGTAAAATCAATAATTCCACTGTGAGTAGATTTCAAAGAAATAATATGTCCTGGGCTCGCCAGCCAAGCAAATTCAATCCATGAGCTTGAGTGATGCTAAACAAAGTTTTTTTTATTTTTATTTTTTTTAGAACCCCCAACTTTCATTGTGGTGTGTTCAGGTAATTCAATAGTTGGAGTCAAAGTGCATGCATGTACAGTTAGAGAGCGATTGCACCAATTTAAAAATCCTTTGCTATCCCAAAAAAAAAAAAGAGCAAGATTGCCTGTATGTTTGACAAACTGTAAAGACCCAACCTTGTGAAACAATGTACTGAAGACTGACCAGTGAAAGATAGTTATCTGGTCACAGTAACAGTAGACAATTTTGCTGCAAACCAAAACCGTATTTTCGTCAAATGTGAAGTATGTGGGTGGAAACATTATGGTTCGGGGTTGCTCTGCTTCTTAAATTTTCCACAAAAATGTCCACTTTAAAAATAGATGTGCTGCAATTAAAAGCATACAATGGTTACATATTGAGCTGCTAATGCAACTGCCTGGTCCACATATTTCTTGTAATCTTTTGTGCTGAAGCTTATTCTGCTTCTATAATTGTGTAATCTCAAACTGAAGAGTGAAAAAAGTATTCGTTCTTAATGATGACGAAAGGAAACCTAGCCTATACAGGACATACAGCCCAATTTACTGTACTTACTGCCAGGTGTCATAGCCACTGGCACTACTCTCCTGCGCATACTGCTCACCCTCATATATCCTCCAGCACTCCGCTCCTACAATTACTGCCTACCCTTATACTTTTTGGCACTCCTCTCATACACATACCTGCTGTCATACTCTCTGCACGCCTCCTCTGCAAAGGGTATGTATAGGGTATACAATGTATATTGTTTAAACATCACCCTTCTAAAATACGGTAAAAGATGAAAATTATCCTGCCAGCCAATTTAAACATCTGCAATTAAAAATCCTGTCTGTAATGCATGTACAACAATGTATTTCCTATTGTATTAGAGAAGGCCTCTGGGCAGAAATCTTAACCCTTGCAGTGGGCCTACCTCCACACGGCAAAGGTTAAGTGCTCATTTTTGTCTTGGGTGTAAAATAAAACAAAAAAGATATACTCCCGAGAACTGCTCATCTGCCTTGCTGGTAGACCTAGGGGCGGACTGACCAGTCGGGCACGGACCGAGGGCCCGCGGCCATCAGGGGGCCCGTCACTGACCGTATAGTAAGGAGGAGCAGGCGTAGGAGGATGACAGCTGCCAACAGACCCGATCTCAAAAGCAAGTTGCTGGAAGACTGCCCCCCCCCCAGGCGTCTCTTCCAGGTGCGCATGTCATGAAAACAGCTGATTCGGATGACTCGGCCCCACTGGAAGTGACACAGTGGAGAAAATTTATAGGATCGAGAAAAATTATAGAACACTGACTTTGATGACACTGTCCGGCCCCTCCCACTAACCTCCCACAGCTCACAGCCCAGAAGCATAGACAGCCAGTTCCCCGGCAATTCATCTTAGTGAATTGGCCCACTATTTGAAAAATAATGTGGAGAAAAAATTTCTGTGACACAAGAATGTCTATGCAGGTGGGGCGTGTGGGAGGGACTTGTATATGGGCGGAGCACAAGGGGGCCCATAATCTTGTATTGCCCGGGGGCCCCATGTGTTGTCAGTCCGCCCCTGGGTAGACCAGTCCCTGCAACTTCTCTCCTCCTCTGCTTCAGTGATGGAATGTCCTTAATATAGCTGATAGGGTCCCTTTTAATAAATATGGAAATTGCATTGTCTACTATTCTTTGCAGTGTACTTTAACTAAATTATTATTTTTAACCTCTATTTAATTGGCTTTACTTCTTTGTGCTTATTTACAGTCAATATTTGCTCCATTCCTCACATTGCAACTTGCATTTATGGGATTGTCTAAATATTTTCCCAAGGTAAGATTGTTTTTTTTTCATTGTGTTGTATCACTTTATGCAGATATATTTGCCCTACACAATCTCCGGTCAAATAAGTGATGGGTCGTAACATCTGTGTTTGTAATATTTTCAGATAGGCGGAGATACCATAGTTAATGTGTAACCTAGTCCATGCAGTCAATGTCAGCTGTATTTAGATTTAGCTTGTAAGCACTCAAAATTTAACTGTGGCAAGGAGAGCAACCAGCAGCTTAGTCATGTCAACAGCCAGGCACTTTACATTCTCATATATACCGTGTGTGTGGTGCAAGACAAGCAAACATTTCTGAAAAATTTTGATATATAATATATATAAAAATAATGATAT